TGCTGAACATGAAAATTGGAAGAATTCAAACTAACTTCAGTACCAACTTTAGAAAATAATAAATGCAGAGTAGACAGTAAAACAAGTTCTGGAATGTCTGCAATTAGACTAATAAGCGAGAATAAATTCTCATAGAAACTCTCAAACTTGTCTAGAAAGGTCTTCCTAGAGACTGAAGTGGCCACTTTTCATTCTTTTACAGAATAAACTATTTTGTCAGATACCAAGCCAAGTTCTATCTTCATGTACAATAATATAAATCCAAACTAAGACCAATTATTTTTACAGAATTACTTCAGATTTAACAGCGTTAACTAGCTCAATAAATGTAATGTACACTATATAACAATTTAACTGTTTCCTTCTACAAACAACCTTCTTTGTTAAATACTACAGAATTGTTTGCTATTGCCTGTATATGATTATTCTGAGGGAAGGCGAGGGGGAGATAAACCTAAAATGTTTAGCTTTTCTGATGTTACTTACTGTAAACAGCACACTTTCACTGCCACAGGAGTGTGAGGAAGCTGAGTGGCCCATTTCAGTGTCACATCTTGATAAACAAGCAGCATGTTATTATAGTTCCCAATCAGAGTGTTTATTGTTCCTTCAGTCACTATGAAAGGTATAAAACAAATTTTAAAGATGATGGATTTGTTCAAGAATCTCCTTTCAGAGGTTTACAACACACACACAGACACACACACATATTTGTTATAGTTGTGTATAGATCTAAATGTTTTCCTTTTTCATTTAAATTTGAAAAGGTCAGAGCAAAGAAAATTATATTGACAATAACCAAAGTCATGTAATTAATCATGAACACTAATTCCCATTATGTATTATGCATCTCTAACATATGACAACATTCCAAAGTTCTAGCCAGTCCAACTAAGTATTTTGAAACATGAGTCTCCATCACCAGATGAGCATACTAGGGTAGACCGGGCACAAAGCAGACACTGGTTAATTAAATTAATCAACTGAAAATTCAATGAATTCATAAGACAGACACTGGGAATTATTTATTATATTTTTATTACCCTATTTACTGAATTAGAAGATGAGGTTTTTCCCATTTAACATGGGGGGGGGAAAAGCCCCCATAAAAATTGAGCCTTAAAATCAAGCACAAGACAGTGGGGAGGTAGGCAGCTGCTACAGCTCTGGCTTCAGCCTGGGTTTGGAGCTGGAACTGAAGGTGGAGTTTGCAGCCACCTGCACCCCGCCACTCCAC